TCATCTCCTGATCTTGGAGAGGTGACCTTATATAACTGATGCCTTAGGAGCCCCTGCAGTGTGCTTCCCTCAGTTCTGAATGTTCCAGGAGTGACCACTATTTGGGCTATGTGTGTCCTTCTTTTGTGGTGTGGTTGATCTCCCTGTAGGTGCTTGGAGATGCTGAGCTATGCCCCTAGCCAGCTGTTGTAATGGTCAGCTGCTTGTTGTTGTTGTGGGCCGTTCAGCCTCTTTATTGGGTGTGGGGAGCCCCAGCAGAGTTGACTGCAAATTCTAACAGCACATTTGTGTTGCAGTATTTCTTTTAAGTGAGTAGGCCCCCAGTGTGGCAGTTTGTTAGGCTCAGGAGCTTATAATTGTTATAATCCTCCAGCCTTTAGGTCTCTTGTCAGCTCTCTGAAGATTGCAACTGGGTGGGGCTGGCCTCAGGCATGGGAGCACCCAATTGTTTCAGGCTTTGGAAGGTGGGGCAAACCCCCTATGTGGGTCTTTGAGAAGCACAAGTCTTCTGCAGCTGACAAGCCCTGCTGCCCACAGGTCCACAAACACAGTCAACACAGTCCTGCCCCATGTGCGTGCCCTGACCTCCTGAAGTGGACCCAGTATCTCCAAGACGGGAGCCCCACACAATCCACTACCACCCCCACACTCTCCACCTGCTCCTTGCACACGCCCTGCCCCACAGAGGTGGACCCAGTGGCCAGGCTGTGGAGAATCCAGGCATCTCCCTTAGCAGGCCCACAAGTTGCCCGAGGGCTTGTTATTGGGTGGGGTCAGTCCCTAGTTTGGGCTGCCTGCCCTGGCTGAGCTGGATTAAATCAGTGCTCTAGTGGGTGGGGCAGATCCTGGGCTAGCAAGCCCCAGAGAGAATTCCAAAGGTGTCTACCAGTGTCTGTATCAGCACACCCACACCGGACCACAACAATGGCCGACACCAATGTCTCCATCCCTGGACAGGTCTCATCTCTCACCAAGATGCACTCAGAGCCTGTCAGGTGAGTCTCTTTTCATCAAAGCACTGTGCAACTTTCTTTCTGATGATTTTAAGTTGCTTTCTGAAACGGGTGAATTGGTGCATGGGCCCTTTAAGAGCTGGTTTTAATTTCTTTGTGAACCAGCTTTTCTGGCGGTACTCCCCAACGTTTTAGTAACAAGCAAAGTCAGATATTGTGCCACTCATCTTGATTGCGCTGGGTCCACAAAATGCCTACAGTGGGAGTGCTCCCAGGCTCAGTGACCCACTCCTCCAGGGAGGGCTGCATAGCTTTGGGCTGCTCCCAGGTGGCTGTGAAACACTGCAGCTTGTGAAGGTGGCATTATTTCTCTCCAGAAGGGAATTTCTGCCTCCTCTGCCTCAATTAGGATTGTCATTTGTTGCAGGAGTTCCTCTTATCCAGTTTTCAGTTCTCTCTCAGGGGTAATTTTTCTTCAAGTAGCTGTAAATTGTCTCTGTCCATGGGAGGAGATGAGTTCAGAGTCTGCCTACACCGCCATCTTGACTTCTCTCCCAAGGAGTTAAATAACTTACTGGAATTTGGGGCTAAGCCATCTGAGTGCACAGAATAAATTTGTCACCACTAAACTTGCTGCACTGAGAAAGGTGTGATGTTTCTTTGGGAGTGTGGGTTCAGAGGCAAACATACTGACAAAGGAATGGATCTATTTCCTTCGTTGGAAAAAAACATTCCTAGGCCGGAACTGTAGTGGTAAGGAAAATGGTTGTTTTGAAAAAACATTTTTCTGAAGAGATGTTTTGAGACATCTTTGTAAAAGAGCAAGAAAATAAAAAAGATAAAAATAAATTTAAAAAAATTAAAATACCAAGTGCTGGAAACCGGTGCAGCCTCTATGGAAAACAGTATGGAGATTCCTCAAAGAATTAAAAATAGAGATCCCCTATGATCCAGCTATCCCACTACTGGGAATCTATCCAATGAACCTGAAATCAACAATCCAAAGAGGCTTATGCACCCCTATGTTCATAGCAGCATTATTCACCATAGCCAAGAAGTGGAAGCAACCTAAGTGTCCCTCGACTGACGACTGGATCAAGAAGATGTGGTATATATATATACAATGGAATGCTACTCAGCCATAAAAAATGACAAAATCGTCCCATTTGCAACAACATGGATGGGCCTGGAGGGTATTATGTTAAGTGAAGTAAGCCAGAAAGAGAAAGACAAACACTCTATGATCTCACTCATATATGGAATATAAACCAATACATGGACAGAGAAAACTGTATTGTGGTTACCAGGGGCAATGGGGGTTGGAGGTGGGCACAAGGGGTGAAGGGGGACATGTATATGGTGATGGACAAACAAAAATGTATAACCCAAAACTTCATAATGTTATAAACTATTAAAACATTAATAAAATATATACATATACCAAGTGCTGGGAAAGATGTGGAACAACTGAAATTGCATGTGGAACAACTAGAAGCAAAATAGTAAAGCAAATTCAGAAAATAGTTTGGCAGTTTCTTTTTTGATGAAGCATGTATTCACCTCAAATGAAATCAAAATCTATGTTCACAGAAAAATCTTTAGGCATATGTTTAGATCAGCTTTATTCATAATCACCAAACACTAGAATCAACATAATGTCCCTCAACTGAGGAATGCATAAGCAATCTATAATATATAAAATGGAACAATACTCAGAGAAAAAAAAAGGTTCAGCTATTGGTAAAAGGGAACAACATAGGTGGATCTTAAATGTATTATATTAAGTGAAAGAAGCAAGACTCAAAGACTGCATATGCTAGAAATCTAGTTAAGGACGTTCTTAAAGGGGCAAAGTTATGTACACAAAACAGTTAAGTGGTTTCCTGGGGATTGGGTGGAGGAGTTGACCACAAAGAACCTCAGGGTTTTGTTTACCTGATGGAAGTGTTCTTTATCGTGATTGTGGTGGTAGCTACACACCACACATTTGTCCAAATTCTTAGAACTATACACAAAAAAGTGTGGATCTTACTGTTTATCAATTATACATTTAGAATATGAAAAACGTACATAACAACAAGTAATACCAAAATATGCATTCACACTCAATATATGCAGCTAGGTCCCCATAGGCAGTTCAATTGCTGCCTCCCTGGGAAGGCGGGATGAGGAGCGGCGGGTATCACGGGAGGTATCTCCTGAGAGCTTCCATATCTGCATAATTCCCTCCTCGTTCCCTTTTATCAGCCTCTGAAATGTCAACAACACTCCACATGACATCATTTTAGAGGGACTAGAATGCATGCTGGGCACCTTGATCATCAGATATTTATCTGCATGTTAATAGTTGTCATTACACACAGGCCTTCTCCCTACCTGAAGAATTGCTATGATCCTGAAACCATGGCCAAGGAAATCACCCCAGGATAAAAATTAAATTTAGTGACTTTAAAATGATAACCCCTTTCTGACTTGTTTTATAGACCTCTTATTTGCTATTTACAGACACAATTTTGTAAATTTTTTGAAGTAATTTTATTATGTTTATTTTACAAATAAGGATAAGGTAAGCAGCTCCTCCAAAGGCACAGCAAGAATTAATGGGGGATTAAAGACACAAACCCAGGTTCCTGAGTCATTGTTAGTGTTTTTTTCTCCATCTTCCCTGGCCTTAGAGAACTTGGAACCTTTAACCACTATCTAAAATATAGCTTCTCTATTATTATTTGTGAATTATTTCATGGCTGAATTTCTGATTTCACACTCAGTATTCAGCATTGACTGCCCCTTCTCTTCAAGGAACAAGGTAAGCTACTATATTCCATATCCACTATCAATGAAAAGTATAATTCCTTCAAAAGCAATGGGGGAGCTATTCATACTATGAGTTGTTTGAGCACAGAAATAGATGATTTGAACATTTTTTTCTAAAACAGTGAGTTGAGCTGAAGTATAAATGTCAAAACTTCCAATAGTAGGGAGTTTTGTGATACTTATGAAATATCCTGCTGCTTCCCTAAAGAAGATGAATAAAAAAATAAAATAGATGATGCTCGGATTGGGTAGGTGGTAATTTCACCTTGTTCACTATCAGTTGGTGTCCTACTGGAGGTAAAAAAAAAAAAAAAAAGTGTTAAGTATGAAGTGACCATTCTTTAAACTACAAAGAGAATTAAATCAATTAGCAAGATGGAACTGCAGTTTAAACTTTTCCCCATAATCTCATCCTTATTATTACTGGCACCTTTAACTATGCTGACAGTGCCATAGGAAAACGATGAAATCCAGCCATTTGTGACAACGTGGATGGGCCTTGAGGGTGTTACGCTAAGCAAAATAAGTCAGAGGGAGAAAGTCAAAGACCATCTGATCTCAACAATAAGCAAAAGATAAAAACAACAACATACAATCACCCAGAGACAGAGATTGGATTAGTAGTTACCAGTTGCCGGAGGGGAAGGGAGGAGGGAGGGGGTTGAAAGGGATGATTAGGTACATGTGTTCGGTGATGGATTGTAATTAGTCTTTGGGTGGTGAACATGATGTGATCTCTACAGAAATCAAAATATACTGATGTACATCTGAAATTTATATAATGTTATAAACCAATGTTACTAAAATAAAAAAGTAAATAAAGTTTAAAAATAAAAAGAAATAAGGTAACACAAAAAATAATAATAAATATGCTTACAGTGAGGTAGCTAAAAGCACACAGGTTTTGATTAGGTCAAAACTGAGTTTCAATCTCGAATCTTGAATCTTCTTCATACTAATGATATAATTGTAGAATAACACACAATTTCTCATATCCCTAATTCCTTTCATGGTAAAATAAAAATAATAATACTACTTATTGTACACACATACACACATTTATATGTAAAGCTCTTAACGTTAGATCAGGATAATTTTGAAGTACAAAATATTAATGAAATAATGCACATGGTATTGATACATTTCAATTTCACTACAATTTCTTTTTTCTTTGTCATTTTCCCCTTTATTTCTCATTACTACAGGACATCTCATGATTCTCAAATAACATTGATGGAGAACAGGACAGAAGTGACACAATTCATCCTGCTAGGACTAACCAATGCCCCAGGACTACAGGTCCCCCTATTTATCATTTTCATGCTCATTTATCTCGTCAATGTGGTTGGAAACCTGGGGATGATCATCTTGATTTTCTTGGACTCTCGACTCCGCACTCCCATGTACTTTTTGCTTAATAATCTGTCTCTGGTGGACTTTGGTTACTCCTCAGCTGTTACTCCCAAAGTCATGGCTGGGTTACTTATAGGTGACAAAATCATCTCCTACAATGCATGTGCTGCTCAAATTTTTTTTGTAGGCTTTACCACTGTGGAGAGTTACCTGTTGGCATCAATGGCCTATGATCGCTATGCAGCAGTGTGTAAACCTCTACATTACACCACCACCATGACGACAAGTGTGTGTGCTTGTCTGACCATAGGCTCCTTTATCTGTGGTTTCCTGAATGCCTCCTTCCATGTTGGGGACATATGTAGTCTTTCTTTCTGTAAGTCCAATATGGTCCATCACTTTTTCTGTGATGTTCCAGCTATCATGGCTCTCTCTTGCTCTCATAAGCACATTAGTGAGATGTTTCTTGTTTTTATGTCAAGCTTTAATGTCTTTTTTGCTCTTCTGGTTATATTGATTTCCTACCTATTCATATTTATAACCATCTTGAAAATGCACTCAGCTCAGGGGCACCAAAAGGCTTTGTCCACTTGCGCTTCCCATCTCACTGCCATCTCTATCTTCTATGGAACGGTCATCTTCATGTATTTACAGCCCAGCTCCAGCCATTCCATGGACACAGACAAAACGGCATCTGTGTTCTATTCTGTGGTCATTCCCATGCTGAACCCTGTGGTCTACAGCCTAAGGAACAAAGAGGTCAAGTGTGCATTCAAAAAGGTGGTTGAGAAGCAAATTTTTCTATAGGTTGGGATTTTAACGTTGTAGTATGCACAATAACTGTGTTTCATTCCTCTCAGACTTTTCACATGCAGTGAGTTATTTTTTAAGCCCCACACTGCATTTAAATTCCTGAGGTGACTTCCTTATCTCTTCAGAAGTCTGTTGTTTAGTAAAAAGAAAACATATTCAGAAATATAATACTTGAATAAGGATGGCTAAAGAGGAGCCTTAGAAGTTTTGGGACCTGCTTGTCAAACCTTACTAAGGATATTTGATTTATTCACTTGTACCATTTATGTTTTCTCTACCACATGCCAATGCAAACATGCACGTTAAATAGGATAACAAGCAAGCCCTATGCGGGCATATACATATTGGAGTGGGAAATTTTTCAGAGGTAAATGGAGTGTGGCTAGTTTTTAATGAAAATAATTTAAGTAGTTAATTGAGATATTAAATGTAAAGTTATGTCTAATCATTAGTTCTTTTGTTGAATAACTATTCTACAGTTCTGAATAGGAGAAAAAATTCACATCCTTTTAAGTGAAAGTATGTACCCTTTTGGCACATTTTACTAAGAGAAACTTAAACATTAGATCTTAAATGAACCAATATTTCTGTCTTGACTGAGTCATTTTGTAGAATCAACATGTTCACATTACAATTTTCAAAAAGATAAAATAATCACCCAAATTCCATAGCTTACTTTAGGGTTCTCTCTTGGTATTGTACATACTATGGGTTTAGACAAATGCATAATGATTTGAATCCATCATTACAGTACCATACACAGTACTTTCACTGCCTTAAAAACCCTCTGTGCTCCACGTAGTCATGTTTCTCTCATCACCTAACCCCTGGCAACTATTGATCGTTTTACTGTCTCCATAGTTTTGCCTCTACCAGAATGTCATATAGTTGGAACCATACAGTATATAGCCTGTTCAGATTGGCTTTTTTCGTGTAGCAAAATACATTTAAAGTGCCTCCATATCTTTTCATGTCGTGAGAGCTCATTTCTTTTTAGTGTTGAATAATTGTACCAGTTTATTTATTCATTAACCTAATAAAGGACATCTTGGTTGCTTCCAGTATTGGCAATTATGAATAAAGGTACTGGAGACACTCATGTGCAGGTTTTTGTATGGACATAAGTTTCCAACTCGTTTGGGTAAATACCAAGGAGGATGCTGGATTGTATGGTAAGAGTATGGTTAGTTTCTTAAGAAATGTCCAAAGTAGCTGTCCCTTTTTGCATTCTGATCAGCAACAAATGAAAGTTCCTTTTGCTCCACATCCTCACCAGCCTGTGGTGTTGTCAGTGTTCGGGATTTTGGCCATTTTAATAGGTGTGTAGTGGTATCTACTGTTTGTCAAAGTCTTTGGCCCATTTTATAATTGAGTTGTTTGTTTTCTCATTGTTAAGTTCTAACATTCTCTCTATATTTTGGATAAGAGTCCTTTATCAGATATGTCATCTGCGAGTATTTTCTCCCAGTTTGTGGCCTGTTTTCCCATTCTATTCACATTGTTTTTCACAAAGCATTAGTTTTTAATATTAATGAAGTCCAGCTTATTGATTATTTCTTTCATGAACTATGCCTTTATTGTTCTATCTACAAAGTCATCACCGTACCCAAGGTCGTCCAATTCTTTTCCTAAGCTATCTTATAAGAGTTTTATAGTTTTACGTTTTACATTTAGGTCTCTGACTCATTTTAAGTTAATTTTATAAAGGGTGTGAGATTTGTGTCTAGATACATTTTTTTGCATGTCTATATTCAATTGTTCCAGCACCATTTGTTCTATTTTATTTCCTTTGCTCCTCTGTCAAAGATTAGTTGACAGTATTTATGTAGGTCTATTTCTGGGCTCTCTATTCTGTTCCATTGATCTATTCGTCTGTTCTTTCACCAGTACCACACTGTCTTGATTGTGTAGCTGTATAGGAAGTCTTGAAGTCAGGTAGTGTCAGTCTTCCAACATTGTTCTCCTTCAATACTGTATTGGTTATTCTAGGACTTTTGCCTCTCCACATAAACTTTAGAAGCAGTTTGTTGATATCCACAAGATAACTTGCTGGGATTTTGATTGGGATGCACTGAATCTACAGATTGACTTAATCTATAGATCAAGTTAGGAAGAATCGACATCTTGATGATACTAAGTATTCCTATCATGAACATGGAATATCTCTCCATTTATTTAAGAATAAGAAAAATAAAAGTTTTAATTTTGTCTTCACTTATTCCTTCTTTAATTTTCTTCCTTTCTTTACACAGATTCAAATTTCTGACCTGTATTATTTTCCTTCTCTCTGAAAAACTCCTTTTAGCATTTCTTACAAGGTAGTCTACTGGCAACAAATTCTCTCAATTTTTGTTTGTCTGAGAAAGTCTTTATTTTTTATTCACTTTTGAAGGATAATTTCACAGATTAAATTGTGGCATATTGGTTGGGTTTTTCTCTCAATTCTTTACATGTTTCACTCCAATCTATTTTTAATTGCATGGTTTCTGAGGAGCAGTTAGATGTAATTCTTATCTTTGTTCCTCTACAGGTAAAGTGTTTTGTAACACTAGCCTCTTTTAATATATTTTTATTTTTGATTTTTTTATAGTTTGAAAATGATATACCTAGGTGTAGTTTTATTTATTTATTTATTTATGCATGTATTTATGTATTTATTGTTATTTATTCTGCTTGGGATTCTCTGAGATTCCTAATCTGTGGCTTAGTGTGTGACAATAATTTGGGGAAATTTTCAGTCATTATTGTTTGAAATATTTTCTCTGTTTTTTCTCTCTTTATTCTCCTGTTATTCCCATTACACATACGTTACACCTTTTGTAGTTTTCCCACAGTCCTAGAATAAACTGTTCTTTTTTGTTTTTTCCAGTCTTTATTTCTTTACTTTTCAGTTCTGGAGGTTTCTACTGCTATATCCTCAAATTAAAAGATTCTTTTCTTAGCTGTGTCTAGTCTACTAACAAGACAATCAAAGGCATTCTCTATTTCTGTTACAAAGTTTTTATTGCTAGAGTCTCTTTTTGGGCCTTTACTAGGATTTCCATCTCTCTGCTTACATTTCCCATCTATTCTTGCAGGCTATCTACTTTATCCATTATAGCCATTAGTATATTAATCATAGTAATTTTAAATTCCTTGTCTGATAATTCCAATCTCCTTATCACATCTAGTTATGATGTTTTCCTTGTCTATTCAAATTCTGTTTCTTGCTTTTTGGTATTACTGTAATTTTTCTTGATATCCAGACATGATGTACCAGGTAAAAGGAACTACTGTAAATAGTCTTTAAGTAATGTGGTGTGAGGTGTGGGGGAGGGAACGTGGTGCATAGTCCTATGATCAGGTCTTAGTCTTTTAGTGAGCCTATACCTATGGACTGTGAACTTCACAATTGTTTCTCCATTTTTTGCACCCCCCTCAGGTGGGAGAGGATGGCTAGAGTAGGGTGGAGTTGGGTATTTCCATTGCTCCAGGTCAGTAAGGCTCTGATATAACACCAGCAGGTTAGGCTCTGGTTAACTAGTTTTTCCTGAGGGCAGGCTTTATTAAGAAAAACAGAGTGCTGTGACATATTTCAAAATGATTCCTTTCCTCCTTCCTCTGCAAGACACACAAGGGAATTTTTCAGTGGTATTTACTGTGAGAACCTGGTTGAGTTCCTGGAAGTAAATTTCACAAAATTGTGGAGAACCTTCGATCCCTGGGTCCCCCACAGTCTTTAATTCTCAGAGAGGTCCACACTGAGCCTCCAACAATTTGGCATATAGTTTAGATTTTCCTACCATCCTGCTAGTTCCCTTGACATTTTCTGCTCAAGAGTATCTCCTCCAGTAAGCCATGATTCCCTGTAGTCACTTGTGTGTCTCTCCAATCTTGAGGGTAGTGTTTTGCGCTGTATCCTTACTTCTCTTATAAATCCTAGAAGAGTTTGTTGATTTTTCAGTCTGTTCAATTTTCACTTGTTGTTGGGATGGAGTGGTGACTTATAAGCTCCTTATATGCAGAACCAGAAACTGAAAGAGCACATAAGATTTTTTCCAATGCTTCTTCTGAATTCATGAGATTATCATGTGTTTTTCTTCCTTCATTCAATTAAAGTGATTTATTAGAGCCATGTCACCAATATGAAGAATGGGAAGTCCCAGCTCTCATCTTCACACAGATATACCAATCTAGGATAATGTAAGGACCAGAATTTCTTCATTAGACGTCTAAAATTCAGTTAAGAAGTTGCAATACCTAAGATGAGCACAAAACTGAAAATAGCCACATTGAAACAGAGGAAAAGAGCAATTTCATTTTACCCATGTCAGCCCCTCCTTCAAGCAGGCACAGCTCAGGTCTGAGAGACAGAGCTTTGGCCTGTGATTTCTCCCTCAGGGAAAAGAGAGAGTGGAGCATTCATCCAAAGTCCTTAGACTTTCAATGTACTACCCTTGGAAAAGGGACAGGCAGCTTACTGCAGCCAGCATGGCTCTGTAAGATTGGGAGAAGCCACACAATCCTGAAACTTCATCCACAGGAGGAGGGCAGAGGGAGAGTGTGTATCCAACATCCCAGCCTCATAATGCATTGCCCCAGGAAAAAGAGGTGGGTGGTTTATTGCAACTGACATGGTTCTGTGGTACTGGAGAGGGCGCACACCCTGAATCTTTTTCCCAGGAGTAAGGGAGAAGAGTGGAGTGTGTGTCCAATGGCCTTGCCTATCAGTGCACTGTCTTAGAAAAGGAGCAAATATTTTACTGCACCCAGAACAGTTTCATGAGATTGGGAGAAGGTTCACAAACATGAGACTTCTCCTCCAGGAGAGACAGAGAGGAGTGGTGTGTACACATTCTTAAAAAAGGCTTAAGAATCTCTCAGAATCTCTGTCTAGGCTGGTTGGTGAAAGCCTTTCCCTGTAATGCCAGTCCATAAAGATTGGAAGAGTTGATTGTTTCTTCAAATGCACAGACAACAAAAGCTACAAGGAACATGAAAAATTAGGGAAGTAT